CCCTAAGAAGTTCTGATAACCCTTATTGAACCATGATCAATAATATCTGTCTCAAATAGCCAACATCACATTTGGTGGTAAAATATGTCACTCCCATTCAGAGAAAAACAAGAATATCCAACTCTTTCCTCATTTTGGGGCATTGTTAGGGAAGTTTTAGTCAACACAATAATAGGATTAAGAGAACTAAATGGGATAATATGCTTGTCAAAAGGAGACAAACTGATCACTGCAAGTAGATAATATAAATGTACAGGTGTTAGAGAAGTAATAGGAAAAAAAAACAGTGATATCTGTCAGGGATTTTTGTTACAAAATAACGGTTACCTTTGGTTAAGATCTTTTACGGGCCAGGTGCAGTGGCTCACGCCTGTAATCCTAGTACTTGGGGAGGCTGTGAACAGATTTCTTGAGCCCAGGTTCGAGACCAGCCTGGGCAACAGGGTAAAACCCTATCTCAAAAGAAAAGAAAAAGATATTTTATATGCCAAGCACAGTGCTGGGGACATTATAGAAATAGTTTTATTTGATTTGTGACAGCTAACCCATAAAATGGATTTTAAACCGCTCACAGACACTGTGGAGCTGAAATTCAGACCCTACATCTCCTCAACTCAAAAGCTGATTGTCTTAATCTCTATACCATAGACTTCCTGCACAGATGTGTAAAACACAGAAGTGTTTCTAGACACTAATAAAACTCTTGGACAATATGATTAAGGAACAGCCATATTCCCAGTGAAATAGACAGCAAATAATTAAAATGGAAAGCCAAAGACTTAACACCTATATGTTGAGCAGTACACGGTTTACTGAGGGATCTAACAAGGAAGGTGGTGTGTTGCTATTGCAAAGCCATCCATTTTCTCTCTAGTTGTAGATTTAGTGCAACTGAAATATTTTTTGGAAATTTCCCTAAGATTAATCTGGAAAGAATAAATGGATAAGAATAGTTGAGAAGGCTGGGCTCAGTGGTTCACACCTGTAATTCTGGCACTTTGGGAGGCCAAGGCAGGGGGATCATGAGGCCAGGAGTTCAGGACCAGCCTGAACAACGTGGTGAAATCCTGTCTCTACTGAAAAATACAAAAAAACATAGCCAGGCATGGTGGCATATGCCTGTAATCCCAGCTACTCATGATGCTGAGGCAGGAGAATCTCTTGAACCCAGGAGGTGGAGGTTGCAGTGGGCCAATATCTCACGACTCTACTCCAGCAACCTGGGCAACAGAGCAAGACTCTGTCTCAAAACAAACAAACAAAAAACAGAACCATTGAGAAAATGTAGTTTTAAAAGATTGTGTATTTGTGGAGGGACACTTATACTATCAAAGATTAAACATGTATTACAACCACAGCAGTGTGATTTTTACCCAGAATAGAAACATAGATCAATAAAGCAGAATATATGTCCAGAAATCATTCAATAAATTGTGAAATACACTTAAGTTGTGGCAAAGATAAGTTAAATAATTTAAGCATTCATATATGTATACACATATGTGTAATACATAATACATTTGTGTGTGTGTGTGTGTGTGTGTGTGTGTGTGTGTGCACCTACCGGTTCTTGGAGTAGAGGTGGTCTTTCTATACATAAAATACTTAAGGATAAATTGGGATGTGCTATTACGACATGATGCCAGAGTATTAAAAATCTCAACATATAAAGTATTTTTACAAGTGAAAGAAGAGCACAGAAAGTATTAATAAGCAGTTTATAAAAGAAGAAATTAATGTGATTGGCAAATATAAGAAAAAATTCTTGAACCTCACTGGTGAGTAAAAAAAAAATGTGATTTAAAATGAGCACACACATTGCTGGAGGAAGACTAAACTCCTTTCTCCTGAGGAGTGATTTGAGCATATGTTTGAAAGGCCCGAAATATAAATCATAATTTTTGGTCCAGTAATTCTAATTCTTGGAATTTTGCAATTGAAATAATTAAAGTTATGCCCAAGGGATAATTATTTCTCTGATATTTATAATAGTGAGAAATTAGGATCACATTAAATGCCCAATATTAGGAAGCCATTTAAATAAATTATAGAACATGTCATAGAAAAATATGCAGGAATTTAAAATAATGTCATAAAAGAACAGTTAATGATCTGAGAGAAAGTTTATGATATATTGTTAAGTGGATGAAAAGTAGGTTATGTCACAATGTGAACAGTATGTCTCTGAATAATTTTAAGTATATGTGTAGGCTTAAATCTGAAAAGATATAAGCAAAAAACGTTAATCCAGCTCATTTCTTAAGTGAGTTTATGCTAATTTTTTCTTCTACAGTTAATGTTTTTAATATTTTTTTTTAAAAGGTATTGTTTTGATAGAATAATAGCAACATACACACATTATAAAATATATATGAAAAAGATTAAAGGAAATACACATTACTATTTATTGCTGCCTAACAGCAATGCAGGTGATTATTATTTTATTATTTGTATCTTTTGCTTTAATCATGCATTCATTTTAAAACCATGAAATTTAAACAAGAAACTTTTTAAAAATAAAGGGAAGAAGGAGAAAGAAGAAAAAGCTTGTTGAAAACTTTAGAATAGTGGGAATGCTAAAGTATGCCATTCATTAATTTGCTCACTTGCTTTATAATTACTGACACTAAGTGCCTATCATGTGCCAGCCCCTATCTTAATGGGAGCATAGTGGTAGTGGAATAAAATTTGCAGTATTTGTGGGGGGGGGATGGGGAGCTGACATTAAACAGATGTGGGTGTAACTAAATATAATTGAAAATTGTGGAATGGTATTATGCATAAAAATAGGGTTTATGAGAATAAGCTCATAGAAGGTTTATATATGTATGAATGTAAATATTTAAGAGACTGATTAAGAAAAAGTGATATTTAGAAGAAGTGATAGACAATACGGTCCTACTTAGGAAAGAGATGAAGGAGAAAAAGGAAAATAATATAAAAATGGTTTATTATCTTCATAAGAATTTGAGATATGGTTGTTTGTATATTTCTTTATTTGATAGTGAACAGAGAAGTTTAAGTACATACACTTAAAGTAGAAATGATCATTGCAATAATCTGAAATTTTGAAATGTTATTCTAATGGAAAAATATAAAAGTACTATAAATTCTAAATTTAGATGTGAATTAACCAGTTTCAATAGCAAAAACCCTAACTGAATTACATCCATTATGCATCCAGAACCTTCTTATCACCTGTGGAAGAATTAATTAGATTTGCTTTATGGCCAGGATACAAACTCAGAGAGAGGATTTTTCTTTTTCAGCATTAAATGAACCCACTATAGACTATGGTTTCCAGAGACTGCAGAAGGTCATCCCTAGGCATCCTGGAGATCCTGAGAGATTAGCTAAGGTAACGTGCTTTGGAAATTGACATGTGAAGCCATTTGTGTAGAATTTCAGCAAACTTAGACAAATCCAGGCATTTACGTCCCGTTAAAATTAATTAGGCCTTGAAATTTGGCTAAGCTTTAGATACAAGAGGCACATAAAATATCTGCTAACTATGAAATATATTATGGATGTATTTATTAATCTCTGAGGAAATATGAAATCTGAACAATTGAGCCTATAAAACAGATACATGACAGGAGCATTCAGTTTATAAAACACGGCCAACTTTATGAAAATAAATGTTTGCATAATTGGTTAAAAGTATAAGCTTCTACTCCTTTGTATTTAAATTTTTCTATTTGCCCATAATTGCAGGGACCCACAATCAGTATTATTCATTGAGGGGTGTCTAATGAGGAGAAAAATGCTTCTGTATAAAATTTCTATGAAATACATCACTTTCAAGTGAACTTCCTTATAAAAATTATGAATTTGGCTCATGATGTTAGCTTAATTTAAAAAGTATATCAGTTTATTGTTATTTAGCTGATGACTATTTTCACATTTATATTTGCACTTTAAACACACATATTATAAAATGCTGTGTTCTCTTTTCCACACTGTGAATAAAATTTAAGCACCACAGTTGTTTCTACATCACACCTCTATTTTCCTCCTGGAAAAATCCCTAGCCCCGCCATTAAATTAGATGCTATGTGGAAAGTAGGTTAATAGAATTTAAAAGGCTGTAAAAAAAACAGGAGGTGGAAAAGGCAAAATGAGAGGAAAGGGATTCGTGATTACTAATTCTCTCTGGTTAAAGTGTACAGGGGGAACTATTATTGAAAGAATTCATCTTTATTAGAATAAAATTTTGCAGAAGGCATTGCCAAGATAATTTCAGTACTCTGGACAACTCCTTGGCAAGCAGCTAAACTCAAATCCATCAATCATTTTAAGAATATTTGGGTAATTAGAGGACTAGATTTTTAAAACAGAATGGGCTTAAAGCAGCATTTAATAGAAATTCCATGACATTATTAATTTTAACCAACCTCACTCTCAATTGTTTTAAACAATTCCATTCTCAGTTGTTTTTTGGTTTGGTAACACATCCATTTATGGAGCCATTTTATAGAGGCAAATTTCATAAACATGTATTTATAGAGAGATTTATATGTAAAATGGTATTATACCTGTCAAACCAAATATAGGACCTCTTGGCTAATTACTTACATTTTGGGAGGGATGTGTGGATTTCTCATTTTTGCCTATAATTTTCTTTTGTTTGCCATTTTGGATTTTGCCTTTGACAATACACCACCCTTGCTTGTTGTCCAGGAAATGCTGTTGAAAAGAGCTGCCGATCTAGTGGAAGCCCTTTATGGCACACCACACAATAATCAGGTGAGATACTCACATCCTACCCTTTATTGAGTTTTGCACTTTATGCTGGATAGAATGCTCACATTAGCCTGCTATTTTGTAGGACATCATTTTGAAGCGAGCTGCAGACATTGCTGAAGCCCTCTACAGTGTCCCCAGGAATCCCAGCCAGCTTCCAGCCCTCTCCAGCTCTCCAGCACACAGTGGCATGATGGGAATCAACTCCTATGGCAGCCAGCTTGGGGTCAGCATCTCAGAGTCAACACAAGGAAATAATCAAGGTACCACTTTTCTTAGAATCAAAATCCAAATATGTCAGATTCATTTAAAAAGTAAATTCTGCTGGAGTGGATGGAGTCAGAGTTGAGTCATAAAAGGTCCAACAGCGTTTGTCCACAGATAGGCAGTACAATCATTTCAAGATTATAGATGATACATTATTAGAGTCTGACCTTCTTAGGTACCAGGCAGAATGTCTGGAAATATTTAAGAAGATTGAGTATTATGACTGGGCGTGGTAGCTCACACCTGTAATTCCAGCACTTTGGGAGGCTGAGGCAGGTAGATTTCTTGAGCCTTGTAGTTTGAGACCATCCTGGGTAACATAGCGAAAACCTATCTCTACAAAAAATAGCCAGGTGTGGTGGTGGGTACATGTAGTTGCAGCTACTCAGGAGGCTGAGGTGGGAGGATCGCATGAGCCTGGGAAGTGGAGACTGCAGTGAGCAGTGGGCTGTGCTGGCACACTGTGCATGAGCTGAGGCTGAACGTGAGTGCACACATGGTGTGACAGTGCACTCCAGCCTGGGCGACAGAACGAGACCCTGTCTCGAAAAGAGAAAAGAAAGAATTGAGTATTATGAATTTAGAAGGATTTGGGCTTAAGGAAAATAGATTTACAGCTATTAATTGAAAAGAAATGTATGGTTCTGCTATTGTAATTATCAGATTGAATACTAGAAATAAGCTGATTATTGCCATTATTTATGATACCCAAACTTCTCTTCCTAGTAACCATGAGTGAATGGCTTGGTTTTATTTGGTAACTGCTATTTTGTATTATCCCAAATACAAATATATAACAACAAAGCAATATAAAGTCAGCTGTGCTGTTACCTGCGAAGCAGATCGTGTAGAGATCTTCGCATTGAGATTGATTTTATGATTGAAGTTCTAAGTCTAAATCTAAGCCTAAGTCATGAATCATTTTTAAAAGGAGTGAATGTTCCTAATGAAGTCCTTAACATTTGGATAATTTTTTTTCTCTAATTGTATTTATTCATTGGAAAAGAATTCCTCATTTTTTTTGCCCAGGGTAACTTTTTACAAAAGATTAGGTGGGCCAGGTATGGTGGCTCATGCTTGTAATCCCACCACTTTAGGAGGCTGAGGTGGGCAGATTGCTTGAGCTCAGGAGTTTCAGACCCGCCTGGGCAACATGGTGAAACCCTATTTCTACAAAATACAAAAATTAGCCAGGTGTGGTAGTGCTTACCTGTAGTCTCAGCTACTTGGGAGGCTGGGGCTGGAGGAGAGATTGACCCAGGAGGTTGAAGCTGCAATGAGCCATGATTGTGCTGTGGCACTCCAGTCAGAGCAACAGAGCGAGACCCTGTTTCAAACAAAAAAAAAGTAGATAGGACGTATTATTACTTTTGTTTTTGTAGATACGGGGCTCATAGACAACATCAAATTTTTTATCATCTGGTGACAAATTAGGGTTGTTTCCTAAATAGTTTTAGAGACAGTTCATGAAAGTGGTTTTATTTCAGGACACATGATACGATGTCTCTGTGCTGTGGTTTCTCACTCCTTTCCTTATCCCAGGCATAGACTGGGTCCCCCACACTCACTGCTGATGCCCCAAAGTTCTAGGTCAAAGAGTAGCACATTTTAGGAAAACTCATAAACACTTTTCGAATGAAAATTATTCCCTACTTGCACCTAGGGTATGGCAACAACGTTGAACTAACATTTCTAAAACTGTTCCATGGAATACAGTTGGCCCCAGAGAGGTTAAGATACCTTCCCCTGCAGGCCCTGCCAAGAGATGCTACAGCATGTTAAATCTGGCAAACACTAGGCTAGCAAAGTCAACCCAGTTTATTTATTCTCTAGGCCTTCTGTATATGAATCGTCAAGAAATCCTACAGTGCATAACATCTGCCCAGCCTAACTTGACCACAGAATGCTTTTCTCAGTGACACTAATCATATCTCACTGGACTCCAGTGTCATATGAAGTATGACTTGGGAGAGGGAACTCCACACTGCCATTAGCCATTTGCTCATTGGTGTTAGCTGGAGGTGCTGAGTGCAGGTTTGAATGAAGAGGAGGATCAAGGGCAGAGCCTTGCATAGATGGAGAAGGGAGAGGAAGGTCTAAAAGGCTGAAGATGGACTGCACACTTTCCACAACTGCCTGGGGAAGCTGGTGGCATTCTATAGTCTAGAGCCAATGTGGACCTGTGCTGGCCACATGTGGCCTGATGGTGTATGCCTGTTGATTGACCTGGGCTTTTTCTTTGTTGCCAAGGATACATTCGCAACACAAGCAGCATCTCTCCGCGGGGATACTCTTCCAGCTCCACGCCTCAACAGTCTAATTACAGTACCTCCAGCAACAGTATGAATGGCTACAGCAATGTCCCCATGGCCAACCTGGGTGTTCCAGGATCACCAGGATTTCTAAATGGCTCGCCCACCGGCTCTCCTTATGGAAGTAAGTGACCTCTCCATCCCTCTGGCCCGCCATGGTTTTCTGTCTCTGGGCTTGACTATGCAGCCTTTTGGGAGAAAAGTTGCATTTGTAAATCTTCCTAACTTGTCAGGGAGCAGCCTACTTTCCTGATGAAGTGTCCTTCCTGCTTTTTGTTCTTTTCTCTTAGCTGGACTTTGGCTCACGTGGTTACTCAGGGCCTTTTGGGAAAAGAAAAGGATTGAAACAATTCCCTTTTTATAAAGAAAGAGCATGTGTGGCCTATGTAAATGGGAGCAAGGAATTAAGATTCCATTTCAGTTAACAATATGTGTACTCTTAGGCACTTGCAGCTGTAATATTAAATCTCTAGAAGAACTTTCCGATAAGAACTTTATCTTTTTTTTTTTTTTGTCTTTTGAACATATTTTTAATAACTTTGTAATATAGATAAAATCTTTTTTTTTTTTTAATTTTTTATTGGATTATAGGTTTTGGGGTACATGAGCAGAGCATGCAAGACAGTTGCGTAGGTACACACATGGCAGTGTGCTTTGCTTTTCTTCTCCCCTTCACCCACATTTGGCATTTCTCCCCAGGCTATCCCTCCCCACCTCCCCCTCCCACTGGCCCTCCCCTTTTCCCCCCAATAGACCCCAGTGTTTAGTACTCCCCTTTCTGTGTCCATGTGTTCTCATTTTTCATCACCCACCTATGAGTGAGAATATGTGGTGTTTCATTTTCTGTTCTTGTGTCAGTTTGCTGAGGATGATGTTTTCCAGATTCATCCATGTCCCTACAAACGACACGAACTCATCATTTCTGATTGCTGCATAATATTCCATGGTGTATATGTGCCACATTTTTCCAATCCAGTCTATTATCAATGGGCATTTGGGTTGATTCCAGGTCTTTGCTATTGTAAACAGTGCTGCAATGAACATTCGTGTGCATGTGTCCTTATAGTAGAAGAACTTTATCTTTATGCTATAGACAAGGAAGTTTGGTTTCACTGCAGTTTTCTGACTTAAGATCACATGGCTAGAATAGAGCAGGCTAAGAATTTGGTCATAGATTCGATGACTTTGAGTTATTTTGTATATCGCACCATGCTTCTTTTTGACTTAGCTACCTGGTTTTCCCCTCCCTTCAGTACCTCCAGAGAGGTGGAAGTTGACTGCATGCAATCGTGTGATATATTGTGACAGAACCTCTTCGTCTTAATCTGTGGTCTAGCAGCAAAGTCCCTGCTCTGGGAGGTTGTGAAAACCCCACTTGTGTTGCCTTGGGAGGTAATGCTGGGAAGTTACACAATGGTCCCAGGAGCCTGAGAAAGTACAGTTTTCAAACCTACCCAGGGAACACTTTAGGCCAGGGGACAAGCTGAAATGGAGAGGCTGAAGTGATTGAATAGAGTGTTCTTGAAATGCTGGGTCTTGTTGCAAGTCTCTGCACCTTGCCCTGTTTTCACCCAGTGTGGTTCACTTGTGCCAAGAGCAAGGACATGTCAAGGGCAGCACACAGCCATGTCCACCATGGCCTAGGAAGTGACATGTCACAGAGGCTGCCTTTCATAGTCTCTGGACTTTTGGTTCCCTGAGGACACACATGTATGAGTTATTTCTGGATTATCGGTTGGATTCATACACTCTACACAATGAGATAAGGACACAGCCAAGCAGCAAAAGGTAGTAGAGGTCAGTTCTTCTAGTACAACAAAAATCTTCTTACTGCAAAGACATGAGTTCTGTGTTGTGTCTTGTCAGATGACCCAAGTTAATTAGATAACAGTGGTCTAGACAAATAAATGATTGCTTGATTTGTTTTTTACCTTATCTTGTTCCAAGAAGTGTTTGGGGGAATTCTTGCAGTCAAATAGGTAATATGAAAGTATTACCTATTTGACTGCAGGATCTAACAAGAAAATAAACTAAAAGAAACAAATGTGGCTCAGGAAATTAGATAAATACCAGGGCAAGCCTTAATGCCAGTTGGTCTATTCAAGGGAGCCATTTATTTCGTTCTGAGTTTACAAGAAGCTAAAGCAAAGAGAGAAACACTATTTGTTACAAGATTTTATGTCCACACATTATTTTTCAAAGTAACTCAGAAGAAATGTGGCTGTTTCTGTCACTGAGATGTTGGGGAGTCTTTCCCATGCTTCCTCTGGAGAAGATGTCTGGTGTGGTAAAGAGACCACATCTTTAACAACTCCTATAAATGATGCAATGGCAAGAGATCCATTGTGTAAACAATGTTACCATAGGGACATCAATAAGATGAATTACATTCCACTTTGCAGCTTCAAAAGCATGTTGACATCTAGAGTCTAGTCAGAACCTTACAACAAGCCTGTAGCATGGATACAGTCATTATTATCATTATCATTTTCCCTTGTAAGAGATGAAGAGCTCTTAAATGACTTAAGAGTTCACAGCCAGGAAAAAAGGGACTAGATCACATCATCACACTCAGAATACCGTGTTTTAAAATTATTCAATAATATAGGAAATATTTAACATATTTATAGTGTAATATTAGGCTAAACCATGTGAAATTCCCTCTATTTGGCCATTTTTGGTCTACAAAAGTGGACATTTCATAATTTATGTATGAATGAGGTTGAATCATAGTTGTTTTGTATATAAAAAATGATCACTTTTATGATACAGTACGTAGTGTGGTAGTGAAGAGGATGGAGGAAAAAAGATGAATGAAAATGCACAGTCAGGTGTTAATTGCGTCATGTTTCTTCCTATTTGGTGGAGAGAAACCCCTTCCACTCCCATCAGTGACAGCTTCCTTCTACTGCTCTTTCATGATCACTCAAACCCACTGCCACAAGAAAACTGATGACCAAATTACCGATTAAAATGAGATGGTGGACACAGAATAGAAAAAAGAGGAGGGCACCCTGCCCAACTGGGAGAGGGAGAGAGGGACTGGAGAAGACCTCCTCCCTGTACCTGCTGGGTCTGGTGTGATGGTTGCACCTCCACTTTTGGAGGCAGGGTCTGAAGGAGTTTCAAGATAGCAATGAAATTCCAAACAGTACATTCGTTACAATCGAATTCCCCTACTCCAAAAATGCTGAATACCCAGTGGAGTTCATTACAATAGCACCTGACCTGTATTTCTAGCCGGCCAAGTCTTTACTTCTCTGGGAAATACAAGAAAGAAAAGCCCAGGGGAAAACCTTTTGTCAATTCAGTTGCTTGTGTCTGAAAACACAGTTCTATGATTTTTTTAATGCATCTGATGTGGCTGGACCATACCAGGGAGCAAATACTTGCCAGAGACACTAAACAAGAAGGAAATAGAGCCAAGCTTCTTGGTCAAGTTAGACTTGCCTGACAGCCAAGGTAGAGTATCAGAAACCTGCGTCTTTACTGTTTCTGCTCTTGCACTACTTCAGAAAATGGCCAAACAGATGCTTTTTCAATTTTACACACACACTTTACTTCCTGGCAGTAGCAGTGTGCCAAGTTCCAGCTCAGTGCAAGTTTTTATAGCTGAATTCTAAAGTCCTGACAATAGGCGGTTATAATGAAATGCTGACAGACCCCTTAGCTCCAAAAAATGCAATGGCTCGATGCAAAGGAGGATATGTGCCCGGTGAGTTCCAGCTGAGACAATGCAAGCCAATCAATTCTTGTACAAAGAAAAGTGGTTTTTCCTTAACTCCCCATGTTCACACAGATTTCTGGGCCAGACATACTTGCCTTTACTTTGGCCCTTACCCATAGAGAGATAGATGTCCAGAGAAAATCTCAATTGGAAGTACATGCAATTAACTTTCCTAAAATGGTTCTCTCTGCAGTCCCAAAGGACTGTCTATTTAACAAGCCTGTAACACCCATGGGGACCACTCCTTCCAAAGCGGAATAGCCACCAAGCGTATGCAGAGTTTGGGACAGAATCCATACAGGCAGGAATCCAACCTGTCCTCATAGATTCCTATGTTACATTCAGAGTCTCAGACCGTGTTCTGGGCTCCCATCATTTTATAGTTACAAAAATATTAAGATATTTTTCTATTGTAAAATATTAAAATTATAGAAAACATAGAACGTATGAAAATAATTTTTAAAAGAAAGCATACTCCCACCATAAGAACCACCTCTTTGAATTCTGATATATTTCTACTTCTTCAGAAAAGAAAACCTACTAAAATAGTAATATTCTCATTACAGACATCTTGAAAAACACATAGAAGTAAAAAGGAGGAAAGAAAAATGGTACACTCTGTGTCTATGCAGAGGTAACCATTGTTACTTTTTAAAGGATAGCCTTCCGGTCATGGATAGATACATTTTGAAAATTGCAGTGTCTGCTCTGATGCACAACTAATGAGATTCTGCCATAAGATCAATGAAAGAGAGGGTGGAAGAAAAGCAGTAAAATTACCAGAGTCATAGAGAGGAAGCTGGGCTCCATCAAATCCATCAGTGATACAGGCCTGGGTCATAAGAATGGGGAACAGAGATATGAGGACTGAGGTGTACTTTTAAAAGTTGACTGCAACATCAAGTGTTTTCCAGGAATGTGAGGATTTATTTGTCCCTTGCTTTCTTAGTGGGGGGGCGGAGGGTGGGGAGTGGTGTTACAGTATGTAACAGACAACTTTGTGTATAGGCAGTAAGTGAAAGAGGAAAGTTAAAATTATTTTTAAACTCCATTATGCCTATTGCTAAGGATTGTATTATTTTCTTCCAAAAGAAATAGAGATTTTGTCTCTTTTAAATGTAATAGCCTTTACTGGTTTCTCCTACTGTGTATGAAAAGTAATATGCTTGCTGTAGAAAATTCTGAAGATATGGACAAGTGAAAGCAATACATTTAAGGATATTCATAATCCCATCGGTCAGAGATACCATTGCTAAAATTTTGGATGTGTATCACATCCTTCTAGACTTTTCTATGTTTATTTTTAAAAAGTAAAGGGAGCTTAATATGAGTGTTATGTAATCTGTTTTTCTCATCTGAAGAGGTGTCTATTTCCATGTGATTAAATATTCTAGGACGTTAGTTTTAATATTGGCATTGCTTTCTACTGCATACCCTAAATATAATCTACCCTATTGTGGGTCACTTCCCAGTTTCTCATATTATAAAAATGCCCTTGAACCTCTTATTTTTGGCACAGTTGTGACTCTCTCTTTGGGATTAATTTCTAGAGACTAAATGAGTGGGTCAAAGGATGTGCACATTTTAAAATACTTTGATACATATTGCCAACGTCCCTTCAGAGAGGTTAATTCTGCCCTCAGAAAAGAAAGAATGTATGTTTCCCCACCCGGTTAAGTTTTTCTTTACCTATTTAGTAAGTGGAAAATAAGATCTTGTTACTGTTTTCTTTAGCATTTTATTGCGAATCAGTTTGAGTGTTTCTATATGGATCTCTCTTGGTCATTTTTATTTGATTTTCTTTATGTCCTTTGCCCATTTTTCTCTTGGGGTGTTTTTCTTTTTCCAATTAACTTATGAAAACTTATGAGCTATTGAGCATATAAGTATATCTAAATAAGTGTTGCAAATATTTTTCTTAATCCGTCATTTGCCTTTTTGTGTTTGTGGTAGGTTTTCATTATGCAGTAAATCTACTTTGTAAACTTCTAACCATCCTAATATCTCTACTAGCACTTTTTTCTGCTCTTAGAAATAACTTTTTAATCTATTCAGATTTACTTCAGTGTTTAACATGAGGAAGTACTCTAAACTTAGTCTCCAAATGGTTAGTGTATTTTTCCATGCATTTATTTTCCTACTAATATGAAATGTCACCTTTATTAAGTATTAATTCCCATCTATAGCCAGGTCTGTTTCTGAACTCTGTTGTGCTCTAAAGATTTGTCTAACTATTTCTGTTAGTACAACTGTGATTTCACAGATGAAGATAAATGCTTTCTTACGATGTAAGAAAATTTTTAAACAAAGCTTCCTGTCTCGTACAGTGTTATTTTGTGAAACAAACAAACACGGTAATTGTGTTTACCAAAATGCACAAATTCAAATTCCTTTTAGTAGTTTTATTATAGCTGCTTCAAAATTTAAATTAATTTGAATGCATTTTGGCATTTTTACCAAATTGTTGTAAAAAATATTTAACACAGGCAAGTATTTATTCAACTCTGCAACAATTCCTTCATGTTACTTAGTAAAGCTTGAGATGTTTCTCCTTCCACTGCGAGGGAACCATTTTTGATCTAATGGGCCCTACTTCCCATTGAAATCTGTTATTAGAAAATAATTATCTGTACTAGTGAGTCATTTGCTGAATATAAATGGGATGGAGTGTGTGTGAATGCGTAATTCACATCATAAAAACCTCTTCAATGGTGATGTCTGAGGGGAGGTTCTGCTGTTGAAGACAGAAACGAAGGCACCATTTGGGGGCGCACGTGGATTACGTAGTATCACAGATATTGGACCATGGTAGAATCAGGGCCTACTAAGTCTCAGCTTCTCTTTGGCCTCTAATTCTGTGCCTTAGTTGGTTGGGGCTTTTCTGCTTTGGATTTTTTTTTTTTTTTTTTCTTTTGTTTTTCTATTTCACTAATGCCAAACCCAAGGCTAGAAGAGATTTTGCTCAGAACCATGAATAAGACCCACTCCTAACACTTAACCCTGTGTCCTGTCTTATGATGCGAATTAGCCCAACACTGCTTTTATTCATTTACATGTTCAAGTATTAGATGAGATTCTTCCAGAACTTTGTTCTCCTTTCCAGTTTTTTTTCATTGTACTTTAGATTCTGGGGTACATGTGCAGATCATGCAGGCTTGTATGGCAATGTGGTTTGCTGCCTCCATCCACCTTGTCACCCACATCTGGCATTTCTCCCCATGTTATCCCCTCTCCAACCTCCCCAACCCTGCTGTCCCTCCCCTAGCTCCCCCAGCAAACCCCAGTGTGTGATGCTCCCCTATGTACTCAGATGCATAGCTCTTTAAATCAAGAGTACTTTAAGGATAAGAAGTTTTTAGAGAAAGCTCTTCATCTGAAGTCTTTGGATTTTGGTTCGGCCATAAAAGACATCCTATGGGAGGTGTGCTGTAGAAGTGCTTTATACGGGCAATTGGGTAGACGTGGCCCAAAATATATTTGTGTAGGGAGGGAGGGGAAATGAAGGTAGAGTCGTCCATGGACATCAGAACATCTGACCTTCAGTTCACCTTGTACTTGGTCTTTCACTCCTAAGTCTCGCCCATGTCCTCACTTTCAGAGACAGTTGGTCCACTGAAAATACAAAGCTAGAGTTAGCACTGCTGGGCTTTGTCATTAGGCTCCAACCATACTTTTATCAGGTCATGTGACTTGGACGGTTAAAAACTCTGGGAATTATGCTAACACAAGTGCCTAAAACTTGACCTTATACTATAAGGTGTTGTATCTAAGAGTTTTACCCTTGTGTACTCTGGTTTACCCCTCTCTTAAGTTGAACACAGAAGATAAAATTGTCGTCTTGCATGATGTAACTTGGTGGAGTCCTTCCTCGTGTAAACTGCTTTTATTTTTCTTGGAAATTACAACGCTCAGCTTTTGGTTTCCCTTAAGTCATTTTAATGCTAATGTCATTAATATTGGTGTTTTTTTCCTAACATCGTGTCAGGAGAGACTGACTTGCAGCTATACTTCCCAGGAGCACTGAAAGTATGGGAGAGGGAGGCAATCTTATGAATGTTAATAAACTTTTACATTTAATGAGGAAGTGGCCCATAGAGATGGCACTCTGAGAAGATGATAACCCTACAGACCAAACCCCTGGAGCCTTTGGAGATACTGAGGAGGTACATAGCTCCCAGATAGGACTTTCTGCAGGGTGTAAAAGTGATTTCCATTGCTGGGTAGATTTGATTTTTCAGGCATGTCTGGTGTCATTCTTCTCTCTTGTCAAGCTTCTACTCATGAATGAAGACCTGGTCTACCACCACTTCCTGAAGATGCCTTCCTAATTCTCCCCAGCAGAAGAGCCCTCTGCTGTCTGCATCTCCTGGGCATTGGGTCCCTTCCTCTAATAGGATCATTACCATATTGTTTTATGTGTCTATTCCTCCCACTGGACAGGGTAGGAATGTTGTCACATTCAACTTTTTTTTTTAATCCCTGTGATCTGGAACAATGCCTGGAAATTAACAATTTCTCAATAAATGTATGCCAAGTGTGTGAACTGAAGGAAGATCTTAATTTCTAAATGAGGATTGTGTGTTTACTTTCCAGTCATGTCATCAAGTCCCACCGTTGGATCTTCCAGTACATCCTCCATCCTCCCATTTTCCTCTTCAGTTTTTCCTGCTGTCAAACAGAAGAGTGCCTTTGCCCCTGTCATCAGGCCCCAAGGCTCCCCTTCACCTGCCTGCTCCAGTGGCAATGGAAATGGATTCAGAGGTAGGTGAGGGTTCTACTTTGGGGATACACATGATGCAGTATACCCTAGTGTTGGCAAAGTAGGAGCCAACAGTACATCATCGTATAGCTCCAGCCATTTATCTCCAAAGAGATGCTTTGCTCTTCTCATCATAGGACATGAATGACACACAGAGCCAGGCAAGGGCTCCCGCTAAAAGTAAAATGGGGCCAGGTGCGGTGGCTCATGCCTGTAATCCCAGCACTTTGGGAGGCCAAGGCCGATGGATCACTTGAAGGTCAGGAGTTCAAGACCAGCCTGGCCAAACCCCATGTCTAGTAAAAATATAAAAATCAACTAGGTGTGGTTGGGGGTGCTGTAATCCCAGCTAGTCAGGAGGCTGAGGCAGGAGAATCACTTGAACCTGGGAGGTGGAAGTTGCAGTGAGTGGAGATCGCGCCACTGCACTCCAGCCTGGGCAACAAGAGCAAAACTCCATCTCAAAAAATAGTAACACAAAGCAAGATGGGGAAAACAGACATCAGCAAACTCTGCAGGTCATGGAATTAACCATGGTAGAGCCATACATACAGTAGAGGCGTGTCTGGACTTCCTAGCCCTATGCTGTCCACGAAGCCATTCTGTGCTCTCTCTGTCACCCACCCTATAGGATGCCATGTGGTGCTTTCTGCTTACTGTCACAGTGCCTGCATGTCCTCTTGGCACACGCAGACAGGAGCCAGCAGGAGCAACCAACAAGTTCTGAGAATTCTAGTTACATGCAAGTCAAATTGATAGCAGGTGCCTGAGTAGGGGGTTGTGGAGAGTAGAGACAAAAAGAGGAAAAGACAGGCAGTTTCTAAGAACAAAAATTAATGTCATCCATCAAACCCATTTTTGAGCAATGTTCTAAAATACAACGTGGCATGACCTAACACAAATGTAATGAGTATATGAGAATTGAATCATCTTATCGTGGATGGGGGGCAGCCAACAACGAAAGAGCAAATTGGAAACTGCTGAGGATTGGGGCTCACTTGCAACCCACTTTACTTTTAGGCTGCTCCTCTCATGTCTTGACACAAAAACGTTTACAACAAGCAGCGTTAGGTAAAACTAAAAAGGGAAGAGATTTCTTTAACCCCTCATGGATCAAAGCCTGTGAGGTCAGCAGTGCTTGATGGAGAACCTTGGATGGGCTGCACTGCCCTTGGGATGGCATCGGCCTGATGGTTTGATGGTAGAGTGTAAGTTCCTAATGATTCTGGGACGCTTGTAAGAGGCCATTCTCCCCTTGTGGCTGAGCAGAGCTCTGGGAGTTACCTTAGGTTCCTGTGCCATCCCAGCATTGGAGATGATGGTGTCTTCTGGAAGTCAAGTGACATGACAAAGAAACTGTCAAAACCAGAAAGGAAAACCCAGCCCTCAGAAACATTGCTGATAATTCTTTTCCTTCTAACTAGACAAAGCAGCTGGGTCTCTATGCCACCCAATGTGTGAGTAGTTGGAAACATCTGGAAATTTAATGGATTTTTTTGGCAGGGATTTTCACCCAGATGTCTAATTCTTAGAGAAATAGGCTGAGCCTGTATCTGAGTGTCTCCACCTGCTCTGTCTTTTATCAAAGACCAGTGGTTTCCATCCCATTCTTAGGGGATGTGCCCAGAGCTTTTTCCATGATGCTTTCATCTCCAGGTGGGGAAATGAAAATGATTGCTGAATATTCACTGTACTTTCCAATCTCTGCAGTGTTGGTGTTTCCTCTTGTTAAGTCCTCTGGTTTTATTCATGGACCTTAAACTGAGTGGAGACCCAACTAGTCTTACTGACAGAAATGCAGATTGAAACAGACCAAGGAAGGGTGCAGGCTTTCCTCTGCATTGGACAGGAGGAAGACAGGATGGATGCTACCCTTTCCTCCTCCCTGGCCACTTAGCAGATATGTTCAGGTTCACTTAAAGGAAAAAAGCATACTTGACTTCCACTTGTCATCCCTTCCCCACCTCCTCTCTCGCAGGGAGGTGGAGCTGGTTGTTTCAGATCTTCTCCGTCTGTTTTGCCTGGCTCTCAGCCTACAGGGTGGCCGGGACAAGTTTTGTACAGACTCAGGGCCTGTCATCCCCACCCCACCTCTTCCTGCATGAGCAAGGTTCCTGTGGTGTTACTGAAGTCTGGTTTGAATCAGCCCAAAGAGCTGGAAGGAAACCTTGCTTGCTCTTAGGTTCCCTTTGAGGGCAGCTGCAGCAGAAACGGGCAGAAGACCTTCTCCAGGGTCCCCAGCTACCCAAACTTCTGGTCACCACCCCTCAGGATGCTTGGGCTGAGCAGCACATTCCTGATTGATAGGTTTATTGGAGCAATGATTTGGTTGGTTGCATGTAGGCACAGGCTCTAGGCTCTAGCTTCATTTCTAGAGTCACTGCAAGGTTCCAAATATCACTTGAATCCTTCTGTTCCCTCCATATTCCTCTGGTGATTTGAACCTTGAAAGGAAGGGGCCAGGTGTGGTGGCACACAACTATGGTCCCAGATACTGGGGAGGCTGAGGCAGAAGGATTGCTTGAGGCCTACCTGTGCAACACAGCAAGACCCCATATCTCAAATATAAAGAAAATTTCAATAATTTTGGGGGGTAGAGGTGGCTTTTGATGACATGGGTAAATTCTTTAGTGGTGATTTTTGAGATTTTGGTGCACCAGTTACCTGTGCAGTATACACCATACCCCCATATGTCGTCTTTTTAAAAGACAACATTTTTTGAGGAGGTGTGGGAGGAGAGAAATAAAAGCACCTGTCAATTTAGGGCTACTCAGGAGGCTGAGGTGGAGGAATCTCCTGAGCCCAGGCTCAGTAGGAGATTCCTCCACCTCAGCCTCCTGAGTAGCTGGGACTATAGGCATGTACCACCATGGCTAAGTTTTGTATTTTTCGTAGAGATGGCTTTTCGCCATGTTGCCCAGGCTGATCTTAAACTCCTGGGCTCCAGAGATTCTCTCGCCTCAGCCTCCTAAAGTGCTGGGATTACAGGCATGAGCCACCATGCCCAACCAGGAGTTTTAAATATAATAGACAAATTTAAGTTCAGAATTTGAGTCAGAAATCCACTGCCAGAGAGCTCCACATACAGCGTTCATTGTTCCACCTTCTATCTCATTTATCAGGCCTCATTTCCAGGTGATGAGCATAGATTGTTGAGATAATATTACATACTATGAATCATTTTCCAGCTCCCTCCAAGAAAAAAAAAAAAAAACACCTACTACACTCTGGGATAATTACTAGGGTTGCTGTGTCTCTAAGTCATCAGGGAGCGTCCAAAATTGAACTGCCTTTATTGAAAAGTTACATTGATTCAATATATAGTAATACAGGCAAAAATAATTAAGGCTTTGCTAGCTGTGTAAGACCTTAATCCAGATCTCACAAACATTCAATAAAGGCTGGATGGGCAGGGAAAGAGATGGCTGACAATTTTGCTGGAGAGAACTAGGTGATGTGGAAAAAAAGAGGCAGAGTGTGTGAGAGAGATAGAAAGGTTGAGAAACAGAGAATTTCAGCCATTTCCTTGGAAGCTTAGTAAGCAACACTCAGCAAAGTGCTTCTATTATATTGAATAATTCCTTTGATGCAACGTAGATAATAAAATGCAAAGAATCAAACGCTAGATATGATTTTAAAGACTGCGATGCAAAGAAACTATTCTGCCATTTTCCAAGAACATGAAAATCCCACGGGCTCCTGTTCTGAAAGCCAAGTCGGAGGAATACATTTTGCTGTGGGATTTTTCCACATTGTGCCGGTGCTGCTTTATTTACCTCACCTAGGGAAACCCTTAGAAGTGATTCCACCCAGACGGGCATTGGACTACTGCATTTCTCTAGTGCGATGAAGACTGGGACCTGGGGGCTGGGCACAGTGGCTCACACCTGTAATTCCAACATTTTGGGAGGCCGAAGTGGGTGGATCACCTGAGGCCAGGAGTTCAAGACAAGCCTTGCCAACATGGTGAAACCCCATCTCTACTAAAAATATAATTAGCCAGGCATGGTGGCACATACCTGTAGTCCCAGCTACTCAGGAGGTAAAGGCTGGAGAATTGCTTGAACCCAGAAGGTTTCTGTGAGCTGAGATGGCACCACTGCACTCCAGCCTGCGTCACACAGCAAGGTTCCGCCTAAAAATAAGAGAGTGGGAACTGATAAACGAGATGGAGTCTTCTATTGCAGTAATCAGCATTCATTAGCAGCGAGCATCACACATCTGCAGTGAGTACCAAAGGAAGATGAGCTTAAAAAAAAAAAAAAGCACTCACCCAAGAAGCGTCGGGGGTGGATAAAAAGCCCGATTTGTTATAAATGATGCCCTGGTAAATCAACAGGCTCAGCACATGGACTTCTGTTTCCTGTTCCCACTAAGTGATTTGGAGCAGTATAATCTGGTAATTATTTTAGTCAAATAAAAAAATATATCATGCATATATTACAATTTAATGTTTACATCTGTTATCTCATTTATTCAACCCATTAATATAAAACAAAATGTAACTCCTGGCCTCCCAGGCAAAACTTCACTAAGGTTTCCTGGTACTTCAGTGATTCCATAGGGCTTCAGTGCCTTTAATGGGCTGTCTGCTAGACCAAACCTGGAGAACTGGTCCACATATCAGCTGAGGGCACAGTCTCCATCATTCCCATCCCATATCCCTCACTCTGTCATAGCCTTGATCATAAAAAGTCACCACATTTCATTCCTGTGCCACTCTTTCCTTGCAGCCATGACTGGACTCGTTGTACCCCCGATGTAAAGAAGAACTGCTTTCTTATAGCACAAAACTACTTACTCTGATGGACCAGTAATGAAGAAAGCACTATGAGCTCTTTGAGGTGGGGAGCGGTGCCCCCACACGAACACGATGGACACACTTGGGTCTGCAAGGAGCCGGCATCTTACTTGGTCCCATGTCCTCCTAAAGCTTTGATGGTGGCTACACAAACTGACCCTCCTAGGGACAAGGACGAAAGACATCATTGACGTAGTCAGTGCTAAAAGCAGAAATGCAATTCTTTGTTATGAACATTATGAAAACCACCTTCCTATGTTTGTAAAATATTTAAGAAAAAATTGGCAAACGATTAATGCTTAATATTTTGGATACTATTTGTTTTTCTTTGTAGGAAAAAAAAATTGAAAGTTTCTATTTTCTATGAAGCCTTTCAGATACCAATTTAGTTTATGCAGAAAAAAAAATTGAACAAAACAGGGTACCAGCATGGAAGACTTTCTTAAAACGAAACCCGAATTGAATGATGAAATGTTGTATGTGTGTTTGCTTATAGCTTAATCTCTTTAAACAGAAAATGAACAAAAAAAGGGAAAAATTTTAAAATGTTTTACAATTATTTAAATAAATAAACGTGTAACTTATTGTAAGTAGAGGTAGAAATTAAGACCTTTCTTTTGGAAGAAAGGAATTTCTCTTCCTGATGTAAAATGAAAATGATGCAAACATGTAGTACCAAGTTTTAAAGGTGTGTGATTATTACTGCGGTTACTTAACTAGATTCTTATCCCCTGTCCTGCATCTCCGCTTTTCCATCATTTTTTTGACCCAAGGGCAAGAACATGTAGATTCCCACAGAACAATATAATGCAGAAACAGAGACTCTAGCACATGCAAAAAATATTCCAACCCATCAATTCATTCCCAGCTCCGTCTGATTTCTAAGTAGTCCACAGGCTTTGTGAATATTTTTTTAAAATTCCTATTAGCTTTCAACACATTCTCCCCTGCACAGTCCAGAGAATTCCCATGTTTGAGTGTGTCTCAGGCTTTCAGCATCCCAAGGAAAGAAGCGTCTCACCTTCTAGCAGAGCCAAAACCACAGATTATTCTTAACTAAGGGACCCTTTGGGAATTTTTCCTCACCAGAACTCCACCATACCCTCCTCTTTGGGTGCCTGCTTCAGTACAGAGGTACATAGCCCCATAGAACTTCAGAAACAGGACTTCGAGAAGATAACTCTGTTTCGTGGACTCTTAAGAGTCAGTCTTAGAACTTCCAGGTCTTTTCCTCTCTCTGTAAATTTCCTCTTTTATGGCATTAAACTCTCTTGAAAAACATAGCTATCCCACTCGTCATTGCCTCTAGTCAAGAATGAGATGGGGTATGAGAGAGGGATATTAAAAGCCCTAATCCCGTCTTCTTTTGTTGAAAGAAAAGGAAGACTAGATTCGTGGGAGATCCAGAGATTAGGGGCCTCTGTGTTCTATGCAGCACAGTTACCCAGCCCTTTGTTGGGCTCTTCATTTTTCTGTGACTAGCTCTTAGGGAGGAAGAAACTTGCCTTAGCTGCTAACAGTGGTTGATTCTTGAAAGCCTGTGTGATCCTAGAGACATATCCAGGCATATTTGGATTGCCAATGAGGATGTCACTTGTTTTCATGTTGGGGTTCTCCCGACTCATTAGCACCACAGTAGAGTTTATACACAGACTTAGTTTGGGGTTCTTGGTTGGGATTCCAGCATTAGAAATAGATGCAGCACTCACGGAAACACATCATGAGTGCATCTGAGCCAATTTTAGATGACTTCATTAATTCTGCATACCTTCTCTTTGACCTGTGGATGCAGCCCCACACCTATCCAGCCCCAACTGTCTTATTTGCCTTTAATCCATTCTGGAATTACCCAGTATGACTTATATGATTTCTATGCACATGAGAATCCAAGGTTTTAGAAACCTGGCATGCTTATAAGTACTGCTGACAGTCCCTCATAGTCAGGGCTTAAAGCACCAAAATACACAGAAATGTAGGAGAAAAAGTTCCCCAGTGAGACTGATTGATGGAAGGGGAAGAATGTGTAGAATATGAACGTTACCTTCCAAAAGTGAAGGCAGAACAAAATTAAGCATGTTTAGCCCTGGATTTGAGCCAATCCAACATAAGGAAATGTTTTTTTTCAGTAGCATTGCTTTTAGAACCTGTGAATTTTCCTCTTGCATGAAGATGAGTGCAGTACTGTCTTCAAAATGATTGTAGAATTTGTTGGTAGCTTTACACCGAAAAATGTGTGTAACTAAATACCAGACATCCTTGACCATTCAGCTAGAACCCTGGCAGCAACAGACCTATTTAATTGTACAAATGTGTGTAAGGATTATTTTTAGTGTACTAATAAATTAAAAACAAAGCTACCCTGTCCTCATTAGTCATTGCTATTCAGTCATTCCCCAGGTTATTTTTTTGTGCCACTTGGAATACGAGTATTTCTATAGTTAACTACAAACTCTATCCTATGTTTGTAAGAGGAGCTGTGTAAGATTTCTTTTTCATTTAAAGGGACAATTTACTTCATTATTTATCTCATTCTTTTGTTATAGCATTGTAATTCTTCTCAGTTTTTCTTTGCACATTTCAATATGCATGGTTTAAAAACCATTAACTTCTCTACCTTTTTGTACAGTGGAGTCTCATTTTCGAACTGTACAGTTTCATCTTAGTTTCGCTTTGTCAGTTATTTACAGTATCAAGTTGCTATGCACAGAGCTTTTTGTAAAGACAGCTTTTTTGTTTACTGTTTTTAATGGTCTTACTTAAAGAGTATCTTGTTTGTAAAATGAATATGTCTACTTCAGTTTTAAACTTTAAATTATCCTAACAAAAAAATAAAATTTTTGTACTGTAAAAATGAGTGGACCTTTGCTTTTTATTTTTTTGGAGTGGTAGTTTGGGATTTGTTCTTAACGTTGGGAATTTTCTCCTAACACTGGTGCCTGAGTTCTATCTGAGGAAATCTTACTATAGATTTTGTTGACATGGAATGTGTAGTAAGTTACTCCCTTCAAGGAGAGAGTATGACTTTTGTTCATTTTTCTGTATCTATTAATCTATATATCCATCTGTTCAAATTCATTCATAAAAATGCCTCAAAACTGAAAGGATCCTATTTGCTCTGTTGGATTTTGGCTGTATAGAATTCCTGAGGTAGGTGGGCAGTCTCCCCTGATTTGAAATTGCTTGTTGAACATATGTTATAACTTGAGCCATCAGACACTGGCTGAAGAATCGCAGGCTAGAACACAAAGACTTCAGGTCTCTTCTTAAATCATAGGAAACAAGTGAGATGTGTACCCATGGAAGAAAACAGTACATAGGCAATAGCTCACTCAGGAAGACAAGGAGGCTGCAGAGGCTCAGAGAAGACACCCAGCACAGAAGGTTGGAGCTGTCAGAGAGGGTTTCATCACAGGAGGCAAGGCTGGACCAGGAGTTTTGCAGTAGAGGAATGAGGTTAGTGAGCACCCCAGATGGGAAGGACAACATAAAGACATGCCAAGGGAAATTTACAAAGCACACTCAGGAGAACTGGATCCCACATGTGATTTTTCCATTCACAAGTGTACTTAAAATTGGATTATCTCATTTCTCTCTAGGAGGGTACAGATATCTTCAAACCACAGATTGCCCTCCTCACATAAGCGGATGCAATGCTTTTTCCAAACACTGAACTGAGAAGGCCACTGCATTTTGCTTTTCTCAGTGAAAACTAGCTCTCTGCCTAGTAGGACATTCTTCCCTTCACTCTCTGCATGGCTGCTGCCTTCTCATCCTTCAGACCTCAGTTTTTGTAACACCTACTCAGGGAGGCCTCCGGTGACCCCCTACCATGCAGACTCTCCTGCTTATTCTCCGTAACTAAACTGTTTCTTTCCTTGCCACACTTTACATTCATTTGCTTCCTGCTGGCTGTCTTCCTCCACTTTAGACAGAAAGCTCATACGGACAGGGACCACATCAGTCTCAACCCTGTATGTGACTGAAGTTTTCAATATATGCTTGTTGGATGAGTGAACCAGGGGACTCAGTTCAGACTCCCCGAGGCAGCCCTGCCCTGTCAGGTGGGAGGGGCCACTGATCTGTTACAGACAACAGGAAATGGCATCACTGGCAGAATCCACTCCTTAGGGACTCTCTTGTCAGTCAACTAATCAAAAGAATTACAAAGCGTGTCTATAATGTAACGTGGCTGGTTGTTTAACGAACAGGGAAAACTCAAAATTGGAAGAAAATGAGGAGGAAGCGACCTCTGGCTGGTGGCCGGTTGGGCAGGTTGCTCGGCCCTGGAACTTATCCCATGTGGATTTTCTCACTCAGATGTGACTCTGAAACCAGAATCTGGACCTTTTAGGGAAATAAATGTAGGTTCCATTCCTGTTCCAGGTAGGACAATGTCAACCACACATTTGGATCTCAAAGAGTATTTGGTGCATTTACCAAATGGCAAGAAGTCCAGAGTGGTTGTTGGGTACTGAATGTGAGAGTGAGAAGATTTTCAACTTTAAAAATTAGGTGGGGGCCAGGCGCGGTGGCTCACGCCTGTAATCCCAGCACTTTGGGAGGCTGAGGCGGGTGGATCACGAGGTCAAGAGATCGAGACCATCCTGGTCAACATGGTGAAACCCCGTCTCTACTAAAAATACAAAAAATTAGCTGGGCGTGGTGGTACATGCCTATAATCCCAGCTACTCAGGAGGCTGAGGCAGGAGAATTGCCTGAACCCAGGAGGCAGAGGTTGCGGTGAGATGAGATTGCGCCATTGCACTCCAGCCTGGGTAACAAGAGTGAAACTCCATCTCAAAAAAAAAAAAAAAAAATTAGCGGGGACCATGTCCTAAAAGACTTTATTCACAATGCCAAAGAGTTTAGACTTCATACATTGAACAATACTGCAGGTAATGGAATGGAACTCTTGTAAAGAAACTTCAGGAGTGACATGATCAACTTTAGGCTTTAGATAAATCATAACTACAATGTGGGTGATGGACTGGAGCTTGTTGATATTGGAGGCAAGGAGTTCAATTAGGCAAGGGCCAAAGACAGCTGATGAGTGCCAGTGTGCCCAGCCATTGTTTACGACTGGTGTCCTTTCTAAATGCTCAGCACCTGTGTGGTACCAGTTGTGAAATGTTTCAAAATTGCTCTTGCACTTAAGATACTATTGCAATAGTCTAGACGTCAATGATTCATACCTGAACTAAGGCATAACAACAGAGGTGGAGAGCAGAGGAAAGATTTGAGGGAATGCTTTACAGTTTGACAGGAGATATTGGAATGAGGAGAATAGGGTGACTAGGACAGCTCCTGGTTTGCCAGTTAAACAACCAGATTTTGAGATTTCATTAACTGAAGTATGGAGTACTGAGAAGGGACATCTTAGAAGGGTTGGAAAGAAATGATTTTAAACTGGGGCACACCTGCTGCACATCCTCTTCTTCCTTCTTGGTTTGCTGAAGGTTGTTTTCTAGCACTTTATTCAAGAAGGACTTAGGAGAATTACCCTCCTTGATTCATACACATCAAAAAGAGATTTTCATTTGAATGGCTATTTGGTTAGGTAGTAAATATAAATTGGGGGGGTTCAAACTTTGAGAATTCATAGGAGTTTTTATTTATCTATTTGCTATGTTGCTGCGGCGCTGTCTAGAGCCATGCCTTACTTCCCCTCTATTCTTTTCCTTATTTAAGCAAGGCAATCCTGTCATTGTTTTTGTGTAAGTCATGACACTTTTGGGATGAGGGGGAACACAATACACAACGATGGCTGCAAAACAGAAGCAAACTGGGACTAGCTCATGGTCTCTCTACACACGAGTGACTTGATCTTTCTGTCTGCCAGCCCCAGAGGCTTTCTGTGGGAAGCCAGTCACTTCACCAGGATATAGCTGGATGTTGACTGTCCTGTGTCATTTTTTCCCAGTGTTCCCTTTTCAATGTGTAGATTCAACCCCTCTTTCATTTCTGCAAACTTTTTTTGAATTATGATGTCAAAATATATTCTCTGTTCCTTCATTCTGGTCCTTCTGGTCCACCTTTCTGGTTTTTCTAAAGACACAAGTGAGGCTTACGTTGGCTGTCTAGTCTCCATCCTCGTGTCCGCCTCATTCTCTGTGAGTACCCGCCTCATCCTCTGTGAGTACCTGCCGTGTGCTTACCTTTCTCACTCTTGCCTGCCTTTATGTTCCAATATCTCAGCGGCTTTTTCCTTTCACTATTTTCACGAGTTGTGGCAGGTTATATTTTCTTGTTTCTATTTTGCTGCCCGTTTTCATGAAACTAGTGAATCTCTGCCTTGAGCTGTTGTTTCATAGAAAGACTGGTTTTTAAAATGATTGTTAAGGCAGTGAGCTAGATCAGAATTACCACCAGCTCCATGAGAACTTTCTTCTTTCTGGTGAGTGTCCATCAACTATCAGTTGTTTTCCTTTTGTTTCCCTCCCCCCTCCTTCATAGTATATGTATCTACATCATATTCTGGTTCACCTTTTTTTATAGTATTTAACTTTGATTGAATTTTTCCTGGACCAGCTGTTTGCCAGAAGTTGGGGAGCAGGAGGGGAGGGTCAGGGCTATCTATGTTTTAGGATAACAGGAATTCTTATTTCAGAATTCTTATGTGTGCACATGCGTGTGTGTACGTGTGTGAGAGAGAGGTAAAGAGAGATTGACATTTTTTTGTTTGTTTTTTTGAGTTGGAGTCTCATTTTGTCACTGAGGCTGGAGTGCAGTGGTATAATCTCGGCTCACTGCAACCTCCACCTCCTGGGTTCAAGCAATTCTCATGCCTCAGCCTCCCAGGTACCTGGGATTACAGGCATGCACCACCACATTTGGCTAATTTTTGTATTTTTTAATAGGGACAGGATTGGCTATGTTGGCCAGGCTGATGAACTCCTGGCCTCAAGTGATCCTGCCACCTCAGCCTACCAGAGTGCTGGGATTATAGGTGTGAGCCATCATGCCCACCAGACCACTCTTTCTTAGCAACCAGCTGCTTCTTACATCTATGGCATGTTTGGGTGATTTCCTCATTCACTTCTGCCTACTGACCTTCATCTCGCTGCCAGGGTCCAGATGATGGGTCCAGAGATACGTCTGCAGTCAGACTACATGCTCTTCCCAGTGGTTACAAACAAGAGGCTGCTGGTCTGGGCCTTCGGGATAATCCTACTGTGTCCCCCCAGATTTGTCTGACGTTAGCAGCTGAAGCAGCCTTTCTCAGTCTCTCCACGTTCCTATTTGATTTTCACAGCCATTGCCACCCCTTTCTCATATACTGTGATTTGGGGTAACCTGTTTTCCTAGTTTCATCAAAAAAGAAGTTCATGACTTTCTCATTTCTCTATTTTGAGTGATTCTGAGAGGGAATTGGTGGAAAGGTCTTAGAATAGCACTTTAGTCTGGATGTCTTCACACTCTCTGCATTGCACCACGGTAATTCAGGGAAAAGGGAGAACTACGTAGTACCGTGAATGCCATTCTGCCATTGCACGTCAGCTTACCTCTGACCTTGTAGATGACCCTTGACAACCAGCTCTGCAGTCCAGCCCGATGGCTATACTTTTCACTTTCTCCATTGGATCCTGCCAAAAACAAATAATAAAACACAGGCAATTTTTCCAAATAACAAATAAAAGTGATCATCCAGCTGAAGTTTATTATGATGAATCATACACAGAAAGGAATTCATTGTCTGACTCTTAGAAATCTGTTGGACGGGCACACAAACTGCCACACCCTTGGGAGTATTGCAGGAGGTGGTTTTTTGGTTATTTCCCTAGAGATGAGTCCATCTTTTACAGCAAAACCTTATTTAATTATGTGGAAATATCCAGGATGCAGAGATCTGGATTCAAATTCAAGTTCCACAATCCTTAATTAAGCAATCTTGAATAAATCACTGCATTCTTCTTCTCAAGTGCAAAACAAGAACAACTACACATGCATATATGACCACAGAGATACACGCACATGTGTGTATACGTATAACTACATGCAAACGCACAAATAGTTATTAGGATTAAATTTAAAAATACATGTACTTTAGAGAATATAAGCTCAATGAAGGTTGAATTTATTTATCTGGCTGTTTCCTTCACTACTATATTCCTAGCACCCAGCATAGTATAATACCTGACAAAAACAGGCACACAACAAAAAATTAACAATTTGTTGAATATGTAAACTACCTATATGTGATAGAGGTTCAGTAATTTCAGCAACAAGAACAGCTTCAACATGGGCTTCTGGAGATTCAGACTTGGATTTGGATCCCAGCTTTCCCACTTGCCGGTACCAGTACAGAAATGGACCAAGCAGTGACATGGCATGCTCTTGTTCATCATCTTTGAAAGGGCATGTCTTTAGCATCTGGTCCTGCCTGGGGGGGGTCAGTTAACATCTTCCTCTCAGTAGCCCCAGCTGCTTATCTGATGAGTGCTAAAAAGGAAAGCAGTCTACATACTCGTTCACCCCAGTTCATTTGCGGACAAAAAAGTGACTAGCAATAGGACATTATTTGGCCATGGATATCCTTTTATCCAACAGTAAGAATTCCGTTAGAACAATGGGCCCCGTACCTAGGAAATAGTTCTAAAACACTTAGTGTGGTTGGAAGTGAGTGGTACAGCCAGAAGAAACCATAGTCCTACATCTTTGTAAGGGATTATAGGGGGAAAAAAAAAGAGTAAAGGATGTATCCTAACCAGCAGTCCATTTTCTTCCATTAAAAGTTAACAGGAATTTTTTATCAGAGACTAGAACATCTGGTGTGTCATGGCTATGACTTTTGAGGACAAAGCAAGCATTGTTTAAATTCCAGATTTTCACAAGTCTAAAGGTTTAAACCCATGAAAAATTGCTCTCATAACAGGAATGAGACCAAAATGACGTCTACTACAAAATTCAAATATTATCACTTTTGAACTAAGAAAGAGCAAATTCATTGCTTAGAACTCTAAGTGTCTCAAAAATTAGGGCTGTATAAATTGGAAATATGGTGATTAAATATGACTAATACTTGATAGTAATGACTAATACAGTGGAAATGCTAAAGTTCCACTTTTTGCACCGTGGAGTAGCGGAATGAGAGTGAGCATTGGAAACCAGCAGACATGAGTTCGAATCCTACCTCCATCCCTCACTATAATTATTTTTACAAGCTGCAATTTCACCATCTGTAAAAATGGTGACAAGAAGACCTTTATGCCAAGACTCTCTGCCTGCCAAGATTGTTGTGAGGTTTAAATACAATAATGAATGTCATAGTGGCAGACACAGTAAGTGTTCAGCTATATATGTATGTTTCTTTCCCCTTAGCCTGGGATAAAAATTAACATGTGTTTATCTGGAAAGCCACCCATCACTGGTTCCTTACAACTCCTCCCTGACAGCACAAAAAAGAGGATTGTTAATTAGCCAGTGTTTGTGAAACACTTAGAAGATGAAAGTGCTGAGCGTGGAACAGCACCATTTACATCACAATACATGAGTTGGCTGCTCCTTCAAGTGGATGCACTTACAATGCAAGGCAGGCCTAATGGATGTGTTCCTCATTCAAAAGTCAACGTGCAAGTTTCTGGAAAACTTACGTGCCTGCCTGCTGTACTCTAGCCAGTCCAACGCAGTAGTCAGGCAATCCTGAAGAGGCAATAGATGGATAATGCGCTAACACACTGATCTCTAATTTTTTTTCGGCACCAGGGACCAGTTTCATGAAAGACAATTTTTCCATGGACCAGAAGAGGGGAATGGTTTTCGATTATTCAAATGCATTACATTTATTGTGCACTTTATTTCTATTATTATTACACTGTATTAATAATATATAACAAAATAATTATACAACCTGCCATAATGTAGAATCAGAGGAGCCCTGAGTTTGTCTCCCTACAACTAGATGGTCCCTGCTGGGGGTGATGGGAGATAGGGACAGATCATCAGGCATTAGATTCTCATCAGGATCACCCCAGTTAGATCCCTCACATGTGCAGTTCACAATAGGGTTTGTGCTCCTATGAGTTTCTAATGCCATCACGGATCTGACAGGACAGGGAGCTCAGGCAGTAATGCGAGCAATGGGAGCAGCTGTAAACACAGAGGAAGTTTTACTCACTCACCTGCTGCTCACCTCCAACTGTGTGGCCTCATTACTGGTACCAGTTCATGGCCCAGGGACTGGGCACCCCTTCTTTAATAGCCAAGGCAATGAGAAACCAGAAAGGAGGTCAAAAGTTTATCTAATAGAAACCTACAAATCACCCTAAATTTTCTTTAGCAACAGCAAGGGTATCTGGTGGATTCTGGTTTCCTACTGTCTCCTTTCCCTGGAAGATCTTAGGATACAGGGATGGAGGAAGAAAACCAGTTCTACATAAATGGCAAAAGCAATGTTCCCCAAGCTGGGGTTCACAGAGCCCCGGGAAATAAGTATTACCTCCTAGTGGAGGAGCTGGAAGTTATGACTCTCCAACACTGATTTCCAATGTTTGGTTCTCCTCTGCCCCTGGTCACATGGGAAGATTACACTTTGCTCAAAACATCATCCATCACTGCAAATTAATGTTGTTAATATTGAACTTATTGAGGTTGTGGTTTTGATGATTCTTACTTTGTGAATTATTTTTATTAAAACAAGCATATATAAAACATGTGAATTAAATCTTAAATTTTAGCTTTGTGTAAATTTTAATACAATTCCAAATAATTTACAAATAATTTAAGAAACACCATAGTCTTTTAAAGGTTTAGACATTTTTTTTCTTAATTCTCAATTTTTATGTTTGAAATATATTACTCAAATTCGAGGATCACTGCACTATGAGAATGAGAAACGGGAGGAAAAGTCTGAGCAATCAACAAATTGGGTCATCATTCCTTGACTACTCAAAACTTGGCTCAATGTTGATTTCTGTGTTCTGTAGTTCTGCACCAATAGAGGAAATCTCCATGTATTATTCCAGTATTTAACTTTACTTCTGAATTATGCTCATATCCACAAATCCCAGCCAAAGGCCTATTGAATAATTGTCCCCACATGTAACATTTTCCTGGTGATGTTTTCCTTTCCTTGGTCCTATGAAATATAGAAATGTGTTTCTAACTATTACCAGAACCACCTGGTAACTGCACTGTATCATCTCAATAATATGAGTCATTTAGTATACAGCTTGGTAGAACTCAGTCATGTTTAATGCCATCCAAGAAAAATTAGTTATGACAATGACCTCACATAGCACAGGCTCACCTGTAACCAAGGTGATCATATTTTGTAAGCCAACAATAAGAACTTATGACTTGACAAGTATAAATATATCTGAAACTGGAGTTGTCCTGAAAAATCCAGGACATACAGATTTCTATGGCATAAGGCACAAAAATTGCCTATGAAGTGATGCTGTGGTGTCTTCATTTTCTTATTTTTAAGAACTTAAAGCAACGGTTCCTTCTATCCATTGTCCTTATACCTGTACGTGTGGGTGGAGACCCAAGAATCTATCACTTCCTTGAACTCACTGAGTGTGCAGGAAGTGAGCACAGAAATTAACCAGCTCTTCTGGGAAACTTACCTCTGCCTTTTCAGGGAAACTGAATAGAAATCTCTTGCTGTATCATAAGGCTTTTGCAAAACTGACCCCTTCTTTGGACTTGGCAGGACTGGCATGTTGATGGGAGAAGAGCTCGTCCAGAAGCCTAAGAAAATGCTTATGTGTCAGGCTAAATTTTTCTTGTATGTTGGATCACGGCCCAAGGACCCCAAGTTTGTGAACCTGTGCAAATTTGCATGGCTAGCTTCCACGCTCTTTCCTAATTCTTTGTTCTCATTGTTGCTGTTTTAAGTTGGAATGTCAGAGAGTACAAGAAGAGATCAAATGAAGAGAGAGCATGGCATGGATTTGATCTTCCAACAGAGAACAGAAGAAAGGTTTCCTAGTAAGGCAATCCACTGCGGCATGGAACTGCATAACACAGAAAGTTCAGCTAAGGAATTCTGGGAGGCCTTGGGCACAGGAAGGAGCAGTCAAAGAGAAATCACAAATGGCACCAAAATTCTAACCTGTAGGACATATTTTGATGTTGGGGGTGGATGCAGGCTATAGGTTCATTAGATAACAGGAGGGGAGATTGATGGCATCCACCCATGGGAAACAATAGCAGAAAGTGGAACCCCATCTTGATGTGCATCAGAGTGACAGAGGAGAAGGCACTTGTGGCACTGGCAGCAGCTGGAGGAGGTGGGAAGGAGCTAAGAAGATGCAAAGCCTTAGGCAAAGTTCTCCAACTCCCTCACGAAAGCACCAGGTTACTTTTGCCTGTTAGAAGACTGTTGGCAAGAGAAAGATGAGAAGGATAGGCCTAGGAAGGATGCTTTCCCCAACGTGTTCCAGCCTGGTTTTCCAAAAACCAGTGACTCCAGCAATGGTAACAAAGAAAACAACATAAACTACATGAGTACTAAGGGCCAAGCCAGGTTGGCACACAAACCAACACAGAGTATACGATTTAATAGTTGTAGTCTACTTACTAAAGTTATGCCACCACCATCCCAACCTAATTTTAGAACACCTCCGTCATTCCAAGGCCT